AAATAGCACATATTTATACAAACCCCTAACGATATACGAACAGTATAGCTATACACAATATATAGGTAGGAATAATGTTTGTCGCTATGAGGTTGATTATTCTTATTATTGTTTTGATTGTTCATTAATTGTTCATATTTATCTTAAGTGTTGTATGAATCAACAAAGTGTCTGCGTATCACCTTCTTTATTATTTGTTTTGAAGATGGAATATGATTAACAGTTGTGAAAAGAGGCGCAACAATGCTATTCCATAATCTAGGACCTAGAAATCTGATAGTAAATAGTCGGTAGTTGCGATTAGAGAAGGGCTGGTTGAAGTGAGTGGTACGCCTCGTGCCGGCATGGTTTTCGGGACTCAAATCAAACAGGTTGTTAATTGTTTCTGGAAGTTGTTCTTTAATAAATTTGTGCATAACAAGAAGCATATGAGATCTCGCTATATCAGTTATCCTTAATAAGTTATATTTTTTGAAAATAGGCACAGAGCTCTGAGGTGGGTAAACTCGTTCAATTAGTCTGACAGCTCTCTTTTGTAATATGATGAGTTTTTCTAACTGAGCATGGTAATTATTTCCCCAAACGATACAGCAATAGTTAAGATATGGAAGAATTAGGGCATTATACAAAAGGAGGGTCGTTCTCTTATCAATATAGAAGCGTACTCTTGCCATTATTCCGATGTTCCTGCTAACGATATTTGATGTATAGTCTATATGTTTTGTGAACTTCAATGACTTATCGATGAAGACTCCTAAATATTTGATAAACTCTTTCTCTTTAATTTCAGTTGAATCAAGTACTACGTTTACTTTTAACCCTGAAGACTGAGTTGCATAATGCTGTGTGAAAGTTTTTGTGCCGTTTAGAGAAAGAAAGTTTGCATGAAACCAGTTACTGACTTTTTCAGTAACTTCATTTACAGTTCTTTGTAGGCTATGTATGCATTTATCTTTAAATATGATTGCAGTGTCATCTGCATAGGAGAGGCAAGTTACGTCAGGACTGATGTTTGGTAAATCATTTATATATAATATAAATAACAGAGGACCCAAGATCGATCCCTGTGGAACTCCCATAGTAACATTTTTGACAGATGAGTATGCTTTTCTTATTTTCACACATTGCTTCCTTTCTTGCAAGTATGAAGATAATATTTGTTGTGATTTGTGTCTTATACCATACCTTTGTAGTTTTTGTAGTAGCAAATCAATGTGCACCGTATCAAAAGCTTTTCTTACATCTAGAAATAAGCCGAGCGCAAAGTTGCCCTCTTCAAAGGCTTTAGTAATTATATCTTGTAGAAGAAGAATCGGCATATAAGTTGACTTTCCTTTTTGAAAACCAAATTGATTACAGTGAATAATGTTGCTTCGGTTAAGATGCTCAATGAGCCTTCGGTATATTAGTTTTTCAAGAATTTTTGAAATAAAGGGTAAAATGCTAATTGGTCTATAATTACCCACTTGCTTTTTATCGCCATCCTTAAATATTGGTTTGATGATTGCCACTTTTAGGGGTGATGTATATGTATATCTAATTATCTAATGTATATGTATGTATATCTAATGAAAGATATACAAATGTATATCTTTCATTACTAATTTTTGTAAATATTATTTTGAGATTTATTTTGATTAAGATTTGTTTTCTTTTTATGTAAAGAAAATGAGTTCGTGCGTTGTGCCGAGCTCAGGTTGGTAAGATCGTGTGCGTTGACCGATCGCTGTCTTATCTATGAACGGCACAGCGTTTTATCGTGTTGAGCAGCTGCAGCTGGCGGCTACCTCGGTTAGATAGAACTGGACCAGCACGATGACGTATGTGAGTATGGTGGCTGAGATGGCCAGCAGGGTGGACCGCTGCAGCCGGAACAGGCCCAGGTCCCCGAGCGTGTCCAGGTCCCGGCGCACCGTCTCACCGAACCAGCTCAGCTCGCGGTGCAGCTCGGGCCGCCGCCACTGCGGCCGCAGCAGCAGGTCGCGCGTCTCCGCCACTGCGCTCAGCACCCGCTGGGTCATCTCACAGGGCACGGTGAGGGTGAGGGCCGCGCCGGCCAGATACATCCCCACGGCGGGTGCGAGCCGCGCCAGGCCGCCCAGGTGAGCGCCGGTGATGAACAGGAGCCAGACGCACACCTGGGTCAGGGTGCCGAACGCCGTCAGCGTGACCAGCTCAGCGGACATGCAGTCGGTGAGGCGGCGGAACGCACGGGAGAGGTCGTCCTGAAGGGAGACCAACTGACGCAGCTGAGATCGGCTCGGTGGGTGAACTTCACTCACAACAGCTCGCAGCTCAGAGTTGATGGTCCAGAATCCACTCAGAACCTGCAGACCGGCGAATACGAATTTGAACGGAATCATGAACACAGTGAAGCTGAACTCCCAGTAGATGACTGCCAGGGAGACGTTCATCGTACAGCCAGACTTTGACGTGTAACGGCACATGTCGTCGATGAGGACGGAGTAGAACGACCGCGCGCAGGTGAACACTAGCAGAGTGGCGACAGCTCCCAGCAGGAGGTTCATATACTTGTGTAGTTTCAACCTCGAAACCGAGGATGTCGGCAGCTGCTGAACCCTCTGTCTGAGGTTCTCGACGTTCTTCAGTACCTCGCTATACCGACGCCTTCCTCTAACACAGTTCCAGGTCAGAGAGAGCCACAGGAGCGCCAACTGGAGGCCGAAAAACGCCGACGCGGAGGCGACATGAACGATAGAATCGCCGGCTCTTACCAAACGGAGCGCTGAAGTGAAGAGAAACATGACGCTGAAGCCTGCCCAGACCGTGTTGATGGTGTACAGAAGGCCGACATACACGGTCTCCTTCCATTTGCCGGGTCTGTCGGCACCGCCACCGAAGCTGGTCAAAGAAGTGATCTGCAGTACACGGAGGATTATCCGAGCAGACGCCGGTTGGTTATATCCCTCCGAGTCGTTCATATCAGAGCTTACCGGCGTAGAGTTGTCTTTCTGGTCATCATGTGCTGAGCTGCCTCCCTTGACATCACTTACTGAGCTGTCCTCTCTGATGTCGGCAGAAGCTGTGGTAGATTTCCGAGTAACCGCCCACCGTTCTCCCAAACTCACACCGGGTGAACCGAATGCCATATCCAAGAGTCACAGGAGAAATATAGTTTGTGGCTGGCTCGGTGGTGTTTTTGCAATAATGCGACGTTGTTAAACAGCGAGCACGTTCAGATTCGCTGCTGCTTTTTCAGATTTACTTGGTAGATATTTTTTCCAATGAGCTTACGCATTTCCTGTCCAAACTATTATCAAGAATGCAGATTCAGTTCTTCATAGATCCCAAACGACTCGGAGAGACCGCAGAGCACCGGCCAAGCCGACTTTCTGACTCACTTATCAAAGCCAAAGCGTTATGTATCGCAGGCCTCATGTGCTTGTCAATAAGCTCATATTCCTTGATGCTTCTTTGTTTGATGACAAACAGGATATAGGTACGGTTCCGGTGTGTTTCTGCGACAATGTAAAATCCATACCGGCTGCCGCGCTGCCTCACTAGCGCTATTGTGAAGGCAAGCGATCACATCAAATATTTGACGACGATACGGCATTGAACTCATCAGACTATCCTGAAAGGAGGTAAGCACGCCTCATTGCGGCAACAACAATGTTTTCCCAATCAAATATATTTTTGTTGCGGCCTGAGACTGTACGGAGCGTGCGCTGTTCTGAACTCATTCGAACTATTATTTGTACTGGAAGGGTAAGAACTAGGATTTTAAACATCAAAGAGGATGCAATTTCCAAACGATTTTCTTTTTCAACAATGAGTCATATAAGCAGAAGCCATGCGTCCATTACCTACCTATCTGTCCCAAACGTCTGAACTGACCCGTTGACGGCACTCACCATGCCCTCCTCAGAGAATTCCTACATTTTCCGCTGTTATATAAACACACAATGATTTCCGTTCCTATCAATTATGTCTAGTTAATAACGCAAACATACATATCAATTATGTATGTGAATATTTGATAATGTCACCCGACGCACATTATGGCTACAAAGTGCTAAGCACTCGAAGGTATGCTTTGCCGCTTTTCGCCGACAGATGGCAGTAAAAGCGCGCGCCTGAAGATAGACTGTGCCGCAGCGCCTGAAGATAGACTGTAGGTACCGCAGCGCCTGAAGATAGACTGTACCGCAGCGCCTGGTAGCCGAAATGGGTTGGCGGGAAGGATGCCAAAAAGACGAAACGGTCCACAACTGAAACGAGCACAAAGCAGTTGGTGACGGGAAAGTGACGCCACAATAACACAGAAAATGGATGACCCGGAATAGGCCAACAATTGCCAATCGCCATTCGCCAAGGCCTACTATTATGAGCCCGTGTGCTGTAGGCATACAAGAATCCTCCGCGTCCCGCGATGGACCCTTTCATTTATCACATAGAGACGGGGAGAGTCCGGTATCGGGTAAACAACAATCAACTGGGGCAATTATGCTCATATGGGCGATGAGGTGAAAGGTCACATTCAGGTGGAATTTGTGCAGTGTGCACTGTGTAGGTATGCCCTCGCTGGGGGCTGGTGTTTACCCTCACCAATCGGTTTTAAGATGAGCGAAGTGCTCTGTATTTGGGCTCTAAAACACGGTGCCTCTCGGTCGATATAGGTACGTCCATGATGCATGACCTAGTGAAAGAAATGGGGTCATGGGTGCAATGGACATTGGGCATCCTGATTCCTGAGCCAAATTTTCATGACAATGACATGATCAATGCGCTTGAAATGGTCGGAAAGATAGCAGTGATGTACCTAAGTAGAATGGAATACACGTGCATAAATTATTTGAACAAAACGATGCTCCCATAATCATAGTCTTGACAGGCAAGCCTCAATTTAGCGGATCAACGGCCAGCGCTTCTAATCGACATTGCTCTTAACTCTTAAGCATAACAGAGGTCTCGAATGTTTCAAGTGCCGTTTACATCATGGATATTTACCGTCCTAGAAACAAAATTACAAACGCATCTACACTACAGGGATATGTATTCAGCATCTGCACATTAAAATACGTGATGATTTTCAGCACAAACTTGTTTTGCAATGAGTCCATAACGAAAATAGAGCTCCTATAGTCAAGCATTTCTTTTGAATGCATTGCAGTATACACACGGATATTGCGAAAATATATTTGGTGAACGATGCAATATCACAGATATTTACTATAACCCCTCTCGCTCAGAGTCGTCAGTTCGAATGCTCACTTCATAATGCTCGCTGGTTTTCACTATACACATACAGGAAACCCCCAGGTCACGGTGCAAGTACCGCAGAGCCGCCGAAAGGCGTCCATCAGCGTTACTCAGCAGTTTTCAACAGACACATGTGGTTCAATTTACCCCCTCCGTCACACACGCCAAGCCGGGACCATCCAGGGCGATCGCTCGAATCCCCTTACCACCGAGGTAAGATCATACAGCCGTCACTCCCGCCTGGCCGGCCAGGCCCGGGCCCTCCTGACGGAGCATGTCTCGCACTCTGCTGAACACCTCTGACGACATCTCGTCCGCCGCGACATCCAGCGAGTCCGCGGCCGACTTGAGCTTCTCCAGATGTGCGGTAGATGTCAGCACTGCCCGGGCCTTTCGGCTGCTGGTGAGTAGCTGTAAGCAGAGTGCGGCGGCAGCGCAGCTGGCAGCGGGCTGTCCGGAGCCCAGAGCGGCGGCCACTCCCTCCACAAAGCCGTCTGAGGGAAACAGGGGGGCGGTGCCACCTTAACATCCGTGTGACGACCCAGCCAGCGGTCAGCGAGGCTAACAGCAAATATCAGCGAACTGCAATAACACGCAGTGGTCAGCAGTCAGCAAGACTGACAGCGAAGATCAGCGATCAGCAGTGATCAGAACAGCTAATGACCAGAACAACCAATCGACATCAAATAGATAGCGGATTGACTGAGCGACGAATAAGAAGCAATCAGTTGACTGTAAAAGTCGCGTATCCCATCTTACCGGTGTTGATGAGAGCCGTCTGCATGGCAGTGATGTAGCTGAGGTTCCTCAGAACGAGCACGGCCGACGAGCGGAGACTGGTGTCCTCCTGAGACATCAGAGCCACCAGCGAGCCGGTCACCTCCGGGATCTGAGACACGGGAGGCACAGTGAGGCAATGAGTCATTTGAGCTACGAGCAGGCCGGTGACCTCCGGGATCTGAGGCACAAGACACACAGTGAGACATGAGAGAGCCGGTGGCCTCCAGGAGCTATGACACAAGAGGCACAGAGTGAGACAGTGAGACATCAAGAGCCGGTTAACTCCGGGGTCTGAGACAGAGGAGATACACAGTGAGACGGTGAGACAATAGAGCTAGAAGCTTTGATCCTCACTGAAAAGTGGATATTGACTTTGTAAAGCAAAGTGCCGTTCCAAAACATCGAAGCAAAAATAAACTAAGCTTATCTAACAAGACTAAGTGACTCCTGAAATACGACAAAAGAACGCTTACCAAATAAATTCAAAATGCTTTTCTCATCCACGCCCAGAACCACCAAGATCAGCACTCACCCTGGCCACCACCTTCTGTCCCTCGTCGAAGAAGGTGACGTTCTTGATGAGCAGCATCCAGAGCCGGGTGACGGCCAGGCGCCGCTTCTGTTCCGAGGCGGGCGCCGAGCTCGAGCCGCCGCGCCAGAACCGAAACCCGGACAGAAACGAGCTCTGTAGACGGACAGGAAACACATGGTGGTCAGTGTGTATGAAGACGGAAGGGAGTAAAGGATCGGGCTGGCGTAACCACCGGCAAACCGTGAGTGGTGACAGTTTCGCTTTATGCTAATGTGCATTTAATTTTTTTATCGCGATCTTTACAGACAGTCAGGTAGAAGTCTGCAGCTCTTGGCCAAAGGTTAAAGGAAGATGAACTCAGCGTGCTAATGAAGTCATGTAGAGTTGAGTGTTTCAAGTCAAGCTTCAGTACAAGGACCTCAGGACGGCGACTGACCCGGCAGATGATGGCTCGTCCCTCCTGGACGAGCGCGGCGGCCGCCAGCAGGCTGAAACTGACGGCCAGCCGCTGCACGGCGCCACTGTCGGCGCTGCGCCGCTCCAGGTGACGCTGACAGTCGTCTAGCACCACATGCACCAGCGAGGCTCCCGACGGAGAGCCCGACGGCGCCTGGTGCAGCGCCGCGCTGGTGTAGGCCAGCCCGCGCGCCCCTGGTGAACGGAAGAACATTGGTGACGAACGAGAAGCATAACAAAACGAAGACACGAAGACACAAATCAATTCATCATCAGCACCACTAAGGATGCATTCTCCCATAAATTCGTCCACAAACAGTCCCAAAGCTTCTAGAGCAAAGCCTCGCTTCTTACCCTCGGTGCACCCGGCTGCCAGCGTGTTGAGCGTGCAGAGTACGGTGACGGTGAGCTGCCGCGAGGTGACACACCAGGGCCACAGCTTGTGCAGCAGGTTCGGCAGCCCGTCAGAAGCCAGCGCCTGCTTCACCTCGGCCGAGCCGCTCATCAGGTTACGCAGCAGGTCCAGGTCACTGACCAGGTCCGACAGCAGGCTGCGCTCCTGTCGGGTCATGGGTGAAAGAAGAAGGTCAAGTTAGTTGTAAGATGCATGAGAGTGGATGGAACGGAGTAGTAAGAAGAGCAAGCTTCAAGATATATTGAGTCTCTCAAAGCCGGCAGTGCCTATCACTGTGGGGGAAATTGACAATGACTGTGTGATGAGATACTTATGTTGAATGAGTGCCAATTGACAAGTGACAACCATATCCGTATCGGCACCTCGGCCTCTCCACTCGGTGACTGACCTTGACCTTGCTCCTGGCGGCGCGCACGCTGAGTGAGCCGGTGACCAGGGCGGCGATGTTCTCCCGCAGCTGGCCGGTCAGCCGGCGGTGCAGCTGCGCCTGTAGAGCCGCCCGTTTGGCCGCCGCGCTGACCAGCAGGAGGGCGGCCAGCGGCCGGCGGCTGGCGGCGCCCCCGGCCAGCAGGGCGGCGCACAGCGGCTCGCCGGCCGACTCCAGGCCGGCCAGCAGCGGCGCGCCGGAACTCAGCCGCAGCAGCCGAGCCGCCTCCGTGGCCAGCAGGGGCTCCAGGAGGGCGGGCGCGGCGGCCAGCGCCGGCCACAGCTCCGGCCAGCTGAGCAGCAGCTCGGCGCTCGCAGAGAAACCCTCCTCGCGGTCCGAGGAGAGGAGGGACAGCAGCAGAGAGAACAGACCCTCGCACAGCTCCGTGTCTGCGAAAAACGAAACAAATACTCCGTTTGGCTTCAAATATTTGACTTGAGGCATTTTCAGCATAAATCATCAAAACGCCAATCATCTAACAAAAACAAAACACTGAGCCCACCTTCGCAAACTCCCGCACCTTATCCCTTCACATCCCAACTCCCTCTGTCCTTACCTCCTGTGGTGACTGCCGTGCCAGCCGCCGCATCCAGCGCCCTCCTATCACAGAGGAGCAGGTGGGCGGCTCCCGGCCGACCGGGCTGCTCCAGCATCACCAGAGCCGAGCACAGCCGCAGTGCCTCGGTCCAGAAGGGCGCCACCTCGGCGGGCGGCCAGCCTCGCCAGCCGCCTCCCACGCCCAGAGCGTCACTGAACCTGAGGGACGGAGGCCGGTCAGACACGTAAAGTTATCGGGAATGGAAGGTTGGTGTGAATCGTGATTCAGGACCATTTACATCCCGTAATCTCATTCCAAAGGCGAAAAGGCATATACATATCTCAGTCCATCCTGCTATGGACCTGCTACTCACATCAAATTCTCACCCTCCCTTAAACTGCCATTAAAAGGTCTTAAATCCCGACTCTACGCCGCCCTTTACCCACCTGAGCAGGGTGTGGACGGTATCGGTGAGCGGTCCCACCAGGTCCACGGGACACAGCACTGCCGCGTTGTGGGAGAGCCGCAGCGCCGCGGCCGCCAGGCCGGGTGTCACAGTCTGCTCGGAGTCGGCGGCCGTACCCGTCTGTAGCTGAGTCACCAGCCGAGACAGCTGGCCGGCCCAGTCAGCGTTCTCGAGCAGAGTTACCAGCGCGCCGGGACCCGTCAGGCACACCTCGGCGGCTGCGTTGGTCACCTCGGGGCCGCAGAGTTGGTCTGCGGTGTCAGTCTCCGTGTCAGTGTTGGTGTCGAGGTGAGCCGTCAGACTGGCCAGCAGCAGAGCGGCCTGCTCGCGAACCGCAGCCGCCTCTCCCTCATCGAGCAGCAGGCCGAGCGAGGCGCCCCAGCAGCCGCCCGGCAGGTGTCTGGTCTGGTGTGTGAGCAGCGCGGCACCCTCCGGCCAGCGAGTGAGCCCCAGCGCGACGGCCAGGCCGCCCCAGCGCACCTGGGTGTCCTGGTGGTGCCACAGCGCGGACAGCCACAGCAGCCGGCCGCCGTCCGGCACGTCAGCGCTCCAGGCGGCCGCGCACGCGTCGCCCCACTCACACAGTCGGTCTGTGACGGCGGGCAGACAGAGAGCGGCGGCCGCCAGCACCCCGGCGCCCATACAGCTGTCGGCGGGACCGGAGGCCGGCAGGAAGGCGGCGCAGAGGTCCCGCAGCAGGCGCACCGACGGGTGGAGGGTCTCCGGCAGCGGGTGGGGAGAGAGCAGCGCCGTCTGGAGCAGCGCCGCGCACCGCTGCACTGACACCAGGCTGTAGAAGTGCTCCGAGCCGGCGCCGGCCGCCGCCGACACCGCCTGGCTGGTCAGGGAGTCGAGGAGATCGGCGGCGCCGGGCACCGAGCGGCAGCAGAGCTCCGCCAGTAGCTGCAGCGCTGGACGGGGAGAGGAGGACGGTCAGATGGGGTCGGCGAAGGCAAAGGTGATGCCAATGACTGCAAGCTTACCTTACTAATAAGTGACTGGACGTGAAGAAGAGTTGAACACATTGTTCGTGAAAACACTGAAATGTCACCGTAAAAGTGATATGATTATCAACTCAAAAAGAAGGCGGAAACAAACGAAGTGTAACCATAAAAAGAGCCGAAATCTGCAATCACTCAAGTGGCTCTTCCACCCCTTTCCACACCGTCACTGGAACCTCTGAGTAGCGTCCAAGTGCCATTATCCCGCCTTTGATCTCCCACTGGGTTCCCATTTCTCGTACCTCTGAGCGCGGTCTGCCGCTGACCCTGCTGTGGATGGTCGGCAGCGCGGACCAGAGAGTCGGTAAACACCTGACTGTGCTCAGAGAGCAGCGTCACCGCCCTGTCGGGTACACGCAGACGCAACGATTAGACTATGGCCTTCACGGCCTCCACCACAGCAATAGAACAACTTCGATGGGTATTAAGACATCATTTGGGATAGGTCACAATAAGTCGAATTGAACTTCACTGAAAACCCTCGGCAAATGGAGTGTCAAAACTACTCCATCACATATCGAATGCATTATCGTATTAGCAGGCTTTCCACTTATGCCGACGTTTATACCTTCATCTAGACAGAGCAACGACCATCAGCAAACTTATCCCTCCCTGCCGGGCGCGGGTCTGACCTGTCTGGCAGGCGGCTGTGTGCCGGCAGTAATAACAGCAGCTGCAGGGCGGCCGTCAGCACCCGCCGGTCCGGCTCGGAGGTGGGAGGGGTCAGCAGGTGACGGCGGAGCACAGACAGCCAACGGTCCGCGGCAGATGCCGAGAATATACCGTCACTGAAAGGGGAGAGTTGGTGGAATTAGTGAGAAGGCATGTGTGCGAGGACGGGGGTGTGCTGCAAAAAGCTCGTCGAACGTCGAGCCGTCATTACGTCCAGTGGTTAGATGTTGCGGGGCGAGCCATTTACCAGACGAGGCATAATAGCGCGAAAGTAGTCGAAATCACTGCGACTTTGGGACTTTATTGATTAGGCTTGCAGACTGATAAAAGGACTTGTGACCAAACAGAGCTTTCTAAACCGCCTGACTGGCCGTTGCTTATAAGCTGATATGTCGACAGCCTTCTGGCGCCGTGACTCACCTGTCCGTATCGCCTGTCTGTCGGTGCAGGGTCACATAGCAGCCCAGCTGTGAGAGCAGCACCCGCGCCGCCGTGTGAGAGCATACGCCCTCCAGGTGTCGGAGGGTGTCGGCCGCCACCCGCTGCAGCTGCCCGGCCTCGGCCGCCGCCAGCTGCCACTCGGGCAGCTGCAGCTGCTGGCTGTACTCGGCAGCCGCCGGCGCGGCGCGCAGCTCACCGTGCCAGGCCAGGCTCCAGGCGGTGCGGAGCAGACCGGTCACACTGAGCCGCTCCCCACACACGGTTACCGGCTCGGTCAGCGCCGACGGCGGCAGCTCGCCGGGAGCTCGGCCCAGCGGCCGGCGGGGGCGGGCCGTCACCGCGAACGGCAGCCGCAGAGCGCTGTCCATCGGCGGCGGTACCAGGACCTCCCAGATATGCTGGCCGGGCCGGCGGCGGCACACCAGCGCCGAGTCCAGACTGGCGGCCAGCAGCAGCTGAGCGGCCGCCGCGCGCACCCGCTCGTCCAGCCGGAACATGAGCAGCACCCGCACCAGAAGCAGCAGCAGCTGCGGATCGTCCCCCAGGTGGTGCCGGCAGCCGGCGGAGAACAGCGCCAGGTGGCGCAGCGCCGACACGCAGTCCGGTAACAGGCTGATGTCGTGCGCCAGGTCGGGCTCGCGCAGCACGGCGCGTGTCATGCTGCTGAGCAGGCGCGCCAGGCCGTCGTGGTCGAGGAAGGCGCGGTGCAGGTCGGGGTCCTGTAGCAGGACAGCCACCTGGGAGAGTGTGGCGCGGCGCACGTCCAGCGCCGCCGTGCCGCACCAGGCCAGCGGCAGCAGAGCGGTCAGCGTGAGCACGTCGTTCACCTCGCCGCGGCGGCTGGCCACCGGCGGCGGCTCGGCCACCAGGGTCAGCTCCGCCAGGTCCAGCGCGCCCAGCTGACTCAGGTCGGGGAGCAGCTCGACTGTGGCGTTCTGTGCGGACAGGCGCGACACGATCCGACTCCAGGCGTCCTCTCTCACAGCGCGGCTCCGGTGGGTTGTCAGGATCAGATCACTGCGGAGGTGCTCAGCGCGACACAGGCCGATGACGTGGTTCAGGGGTCGCGTCAGCTGTGGGCGGGTCACGTGGCAGAGGAACAGCGGCAGTGCGGTGACCAGCACCGGCCGGAGGCGCGGCACCCAGGCCTCCGAGGTGACTGCGTAGAGCACCAGGTCGGTGGCGTCCGACTCGATCTGTCGGTCCGATAGTCCGTCCGTCAGCGCCAGCTCCAGTACCGCCGGCTGTATGAGGGCCGGGACAGTCCGCCGGCCGGCGTCCCTCAGCGCGGCGCGCGCCGCCGCCGCCGCCCCGCGGTACGCCGCCGAGCGCACCACCGGCACAGGAGAGCTGAGGAGCCGCAACAGCAGCCGGCCGCCGGCGCTCTCATCACCCTCAGCCTCCTCCTTACCGTCCTCAGTCTCCTTCTGCCGGCCCGCCGGCGTCCCCTCGGCCGCCGGAGTCTCACACACGGCCGCCACCGCCTTTTCCACCAGCTCCCGGCCCCCGTGCAGCTCGATGGCAGCCGCCGCAGCCAGCGCGTCCGCCCGTCCACCGCCGTCCACCAGTCGGCGCGCCGCCTCCATGGCTGACCGCAGCCGCTCCAGCCGTCTCCACAGCCGCGCGCAGCCGGAGTCGGTGACCAGACGCAGCAGGCGCGCGTGCAGCGCCGGCTGCTGCGCGAACAGCAGCTCATCCAGCAGCACGTGCAGCGGGGCGGCCAGCAGCCGGTGTCGGCGGGCCCAGAGACCGGGCGGGGGTCGGAGGGAGGCCCAGGCGTCTGCCAGGAGAGCGGCGGCCAGCAGCCAGCCGGCGCGATGCAGGTGGACGCTCTCCCCCGACCGGTAACACTTGTGGTGCCAGCGGAGAACCTCGTCAAACACCTGACGGACACAGGACGGGCGGTGTGAGACTATGTGGGGTAGCAAGGCCTCAACAAATACCAACAAAACAAACCCGAAATATGAGCATTACAACCGCTACTCTCGATCGCTAATACTTCCAATTGAAATTTTCCAATTGGAGAGCTTGATGGATCGTTGGCCAAAGGTTTGCCTTTGTTATGAACTTAGTGCAGGGTTTCCTTTTATCGACCCACGTTCCTTATGGCCCCTTTTCCCTACCTTGAGCGCCTTCATGAGCGCCTGCTGCGCCCTCTGCTCGGCCTCTCCCTGAGGCGCGGTCCAGAGGCGGGCAGGCACCGCGCGGCGGCCCAGCCGGCACACGGCGGCCCCCAGTCGGGCGGCGGCCACCAGGACCGCCCAGTGTCTCACGTACAGACAGCTGAGCGCCTGGCTGAGCAGCTGACCGCAGAACGTCGGCAGCGAGAGAGCGCCGGCCGCCTCCTCGGCAGTGGGGCCGGCAGTCTGAGGGAGAGGAACGGAGGAGGTGAGCAGAGGGAGAGAGGTCCGCGGTCTGGTGGAGTAATGAGAGGGAGAAAACGTTAGGTAGGTAGTGGAAGCATCGACGGATCATTAGCCCATTCATAGACTTGACAAATAAATAAGACTTCAGGATAACCGAAACTTCGAAAACGCTGAAGAAGAACAAAGCGAATAAAAATGATAAATGACGGAATACGGAAGAAGCAACGGAATACCGAATAGCAATCAAGACTCAGCAGATTATCCTTGCATGAATGCTTCACACCCTCCAGCACAATTACCCAGCCCAGTGAGACGGTAAGTACCACCCCACAGGCCACACTGCACGCCCCTGGAGCAGCTGCCTTACCAGAGTGGCCGTCTGGCGGGTCTCGGGCGCTGCGATCACGTCACAGCGGTGCAGCAGCGTCTCGGTCAGCACGGTCAGACACTCGAGGCAGGAGAGCAGCACATCCGTCTCCGACTCGTCGGTGGACACCAGCACGTGGAACACCGCCTGACCGAGGAGAGGAAAAGGCGGTCAGGGGGTCTGAACTATATAAAGGAAGTCCAAACTGAATAGCAAGTCAAGAAGAGCAAGACAATACAATGATGAGAGACATGGCCAATGTGCAGGTAAAACACAGCTTTTACTAATATACTTAGCTACCGATTTTTTTATCGTGGATGTCACTATTGAAACACCACTTTTTACTGTCGCACAAGATAAGCTCAGAGCGACCCAAACACCTCAGACTCTCTCCGCCGTACCTACCTGCAGCAGCACGGGCCGCTGGAGGAACACCTCGGCAGGGAAGTCCCTCAGGGTGACGTCGTGCAGAAAGTGCAGCGCCTGGCGCACGGCGCGGCCGTCCCCGGACGTCAGAGAGCCCGCCGTGGACGTCAGCACGTGCAGGTCGGACGCGATCAGACTCTGTCAGTGAGACGGGGAAGGTGACGTCAACGAGGTATTGATAGACTATCTGAGACGTGATCAAGTACCTATCCTAAATAAAACAGCGAGCCGCCACCAGCCATCCACGTAAAGCAGAGAGCCATATGGCTCAAAATCTCTTATCATCGCACGCTAAGAACATCTCCAAGCAACCAAGACTGGCACTACGGAGGCCACAACCCGACCAAAGATCGAGCATGGTGTTTCGAATAGCGTACCTTCCAGGGCAGACTGTGAATAATGTCCCCCTCATCCGGTGGCTCCTGATCCTGTTCCTGATCCTCCTGATCACTCTCCGAGCTGGCTGCCGACATCCTGGGAGGAGATGACTTATATCAGATCGCTGACATTTACGTTTCATTGTCCAGGAAAATCGATGCTGTCATAAGACAGTAAAATTGATGCTTATCAGGACGAGAACATGCATTTTTGCTTTAGCATTCATTTGTACTTTGTTGTATTTGTTCGAGTAGTTGTCAAACTGACCTGTCCTCCATTCCGGCCGTATCATTATCATCCGGGGTAAACAGCACCGGAATGAAGTCTCCACCGTACTTTTGGTCGGGCCCATCTCCGATCTAGAAAACAGAATGGGCAGATGAGTTACGAAACGATCGGAATGACAAATTAATGACGCTAATCTAACCGAGGGCGACATCTCTTATTCTATGGTGGTGGGAAATGCGAGTTATTTATATGAAATGTGATGCGTTGCGTTAAATACGGTGGGCACAAACATTCATTGAACATTTCGAGACGCGACGAAAAGAGATGAAAAGTGGATAAAAATATTCAAGCTTAAACGACAGAAGGTAAACAAAACCCAATCAACGCACCGTAACTCTACCCAAATTCCGTCCGATATCATATACCATCCGCGCCACACCTCCTCCCCGACTGCTCACCTGTTCAGGCTGGTCCCCGCCGGGGGAGGCCGTCCGCCACGGACCGTCCCTGACTGGGGAGGGCTGCCGTCCGGCACTCCCCGGGGAGTGCTCCCCGCCGACCCTCCGCAGTGGGGAGCGCTCCCCGCCCACCCGCCGGACCGGAGAGTGCTGCCGCTCCGGACTGAGCCGCTCGCCATCGACAGGTCCCTTCTGAAATCGGCGAATATCATGGGGGATGAATGTGGCATTAGTAATATCAATTAAGTCAATTTAATTTTTGTGTAGAATCAAGGTAAATCTTATGAGTAAAAAAGCATGAAACCAGCACTTCATAATAAGAAGACGTCGAAGCAAATCGTTCATTTAGCAAAATAAATCATAAAAAACGTCAGGAACTTAGTCCCAGCTCCCGTCACGACATCGCCCGCCATATCGCAACCACAGCGACACCGCCCACTCCCACACATACGGTAGCGATCTGGTCGAGCAGCCGGAGCGCCTGCTGGCGACCCTCCCAGCCAGGCAGCAGCAGCTGACTGCGCAGCCGCTCAGCCAGCTGCTGGGACGGCAGCAGGCCCAGCGAGACAGCACTCAGCAGCGAGTCGGCAGCGCGCTCCCGGATCTCCAGCAGACGGTGACCTGATGGGGGGGGGGGGGGAGGGGGCAGTGTTACTGGGGGCAGTGGGGGATGAGTTCGGGTTCCGGACAAAATATCGAAAAGCAAAATATCGAATAGCAAAATATCGAATACAAATTATCGAAGTGGCAGAATATCGAAAGCAAAATATCGAATGCGCAAAATATCGAAATCGCAAAATATCGAACCGCAAAATATCGACATCGCAAAATATCGACATCGCAAAATATCGAGTTGCATAATATCGCATTGCAAAATATCGAACTCGCAAAATATCGAATAGCATAATATCGAAAGCAGAATATCGAAACGCAAAATATCGAAAGACAAAATATCGAAAGACAAAACATGGAAAGACAAAATATCGAAAAGGCAAAATATCGAACGCAGAATATCGAAAAGACAAAATATCGAACGCAAAATATCGAACAGACAAAATATCGAAAGACAAAATATCGAAAAGGCAAAATATGGAACGCAGAATATCGAAAAGACAAAATATCGAACGCTGAATATCGAAAAGACAAAATATCGGACGCAAAATATCGAACAGACAAAATATCGAACGCAAAATATCGAAAAGGCAAAATATCGAACGCAGAATATCGAAAAGGCAAAATATCGAACGCAAAATATCGAAATGACAAAATAACGAACGCAAAGCGTCGAAAAGGTAAAATATCGACTTGAAATGGCCCTCTGCGGACTCCTTAGAGCTCTGTCGAACTCTGTCGAAATTAGGTTTCGCTCACAGATCTTCCGGGGCTATCAAACATAGGCGGATCCAACCCAGAGTTTTGGGAGGGGCAAACCATCACAATTTATTGTTTCTTTTCATGCACTGCCATAGACGTAATGTTAAAAATGATGTCCTTTGTGGAGGGCAATTGCCCTATTTGCCCTCCCCTGGATCCGCCACTGCTATCAAACACCGTTTGAGTTTTGAAAATCGGTCCAGTAGCTTCGGAGATAGGAGGGGGGGGGGGCTCCAAATAGCCCCCCCCCCCCAGTCAGTTGTGTTATGGAATATACCCCAGTCAGGCGCGGGTTAACATCATTTTAATTTCACTGCGTCGTCCATAAATCGTGCATTTTTATGTTTATAAGTGGGTATCTATAGCAGCAAGGGCCTATTCCTTCTTAATTAAAGGAAATAGTTCACTTTCACGAAATTATTTTTTTTGCAATGGATTTGTGATTTTTTATGTTCAAAATGATCAGCAAAGAAAATAAAACCTTTTTACAACAAAAGATTATTTTCTATATGTTTGATATAGGAAGAACTTTTCAGTTTCTGTAAGGCACACGCGATCCAGTATGAAAAGAGCATGGGTCCCGAAAATTCTTCAGAAACTAAGAAATTATCGCGGCCACCGGCATTTGGGCGATCTGCTCGTGCTTTTGTTACTGGAGCGCCTCACTGGAGCGAATTTCTCTAGAGTTCTCGTAGATAATTTCTCTAGTTTCTGAAGAATTTTCGGGACCCATGCTCGTTTCATACTGGATGCGAATATATGCAAGGCACACATCCTCAACGCAAGACACATTTTTCGGGACGAGAAATAGAATATCTTTGCCTAGGGTGATCGTTGGGCTGTAAAAGCTCCTGATTTATGCTCGTCTCAGCCCAAGCTACGGAACTGCTATTCCAGTTCAAAACCCATGTTAAAATGTGAACTATTTCCTTTAACATCTGTCATCCAAAATTAACAAACAACAATTGTCCTCCAAGATCCCTTGCATGCGTCAATTTTTGTACTTATATGCAACACATATCTTCAATGAAAACCTCGGTTGATTAAAGGAAATAGTTCACCTTTAATAAATAAATTTGTTAATAAATTTTAAGTAAAACTTGTGTTTGAAATGTGAGGAATAATATTTAGAGACATTATGAGTTGGAATTATGCAATTCTATAGGCCTCCAGGGGCTTACCTGCCTCTAAGACCCCACACATACTTTTGGGGCCCCAAACGCTTGCTCCTGAAGGCCCCACTGAGACTCCTAGTCCTTTCCTCTATTCAATCCTCCATGCTGGCTCTTTAGGCTAAACATCGGCTCCTGGTGGCCATCCCGGCTTTGGAGGGTCTCCATACAGGCTTTTTTGGGTCCGATGTCAGTCTCTGAGAGCCATCAAAAGCCTTTCGAGCCTACGAGTATACTGCTTTCTGAAACCCTTCAACAACTTCTGAGGGACCGACCCTGGTCGGAGGGCTCATTCGGTCTGGGGAGTCATGTAGGTCTCTGGAGGAGCCTCTAAGGGGTCGGTTTCCAAGGGGCTTTTAAAGGAAAAGGGCCACCTTCGTGAAATATGAAGATATCGTTGTTTTTCATTTTGACATTATTATTTTTCATTTTCTTTTTAAAACTGGTGCCAGAAGTGCACAATTCGCGAAAAAGTATTTAAAACTATTTAACATATTGGTACTATGTTGATACTCTCTATGGCACCTACTGTATGATGGCATAGCGATGACGTCACACTCAAGCCAATCAGCGTTCAGAAGACAGACTCGTCGGATTGTGTCAGATAAGCTGATTGGTTAAAGCTGAGCTGGTTGGAGCTGATTGGTAAAAAACCAAAGCCTCGCAGCGGGTGGCTGTATTGTCGGATAAGAACGCATTCCTGGGATAAGAACGCATTCCTGGCGTATTTTCTTTTAAAATTGCCGATAACTACGAATGGAGGCCGAAATCGGCCGTAAGGAGGTAGACAGACAGGTTTTCGGACACGGGCTACAAGATGGCTATCTCAGTTTCAATCCCCATGTTAAAGGTGGCCCTTTTCCTTTAAACACGGTCTTCTAAGAACGGTCTCGTAGGGCCCGTAATGGTCCACTGCGGATCCAGAAAAGTGGGTTGAGATGCTGAGGGTGGTGGCTAGACTAAAACAAGATTAGATGATAAAAACTAGCTGCATTTGCTTCGTTATGCTTTATTTGAGATAGGTACACTGTAATTTCAAATATTTTGCAGAACTTGTGTTTTTGGGGATTGTTTTCCAAAATCTTCGTTTTTCATAAAGCAATGATAATCACTCTAAAAAAGATCGGGGGGGGGGGCAAAACTTCCAGAGGGGCCCCTTGAGAAAACTTTGCACCCCCATCCAAAATTACCTTCCGCCGCCACTGCTGAGATCTACAAAAAATATCAGAGTTTTCCAAGTCTGTCATGGACCCGCTGATTGCTCTTTGAGGCCTACAGATAACAGAGGGCCCGATGAGTTCGACAGAGCTCTAAGGAGTCCGCAGAGGGCCATTTCAAGTCGATATTTTACCTTTTCGACACTTTGCGTTCGTTATTTTGTCTTTTCGATATTTTGCGTTCGATATTTTGCGTTCGATATTTTGCCTTTTCGATATTCTGCTTCGATATTTTGTCTGTTCGATATTTTGCGTTCGATATTTTGCCTTTTCGATATTCTGCGTTCGATATACTGCCTTTTCGATATTTTGCGTTCGATATTTTGTCTGTTCGATATTTTGCGTTCGATATTTTGTCTTTTCGATATTCTGCGTTCGATATTTTGCCTTTTCGATATTTTGTCTTTCGATATTTTGTCTTTCAATATTTTGTCTTTCGATATTTTGTCTTTCGATATTTTGTCTTTCAATATTTTGTCTTTCGATATTTTGTCTTTCGATATTTTGTCTTTCAATATTTTGTCTTTCGATATTTTGTCTTTCGATATTTTGCGTTTCGATATTTTGCGTTTCGATAGTTTGCGTTTCGATATTTTGCTTTCGATATTATGCTATTCGATATTTTGCGATGTCGATATTTTGCAATTCGATATTTTGCGATTCGATATTTTGCGATTTCGATATTTTGCGATTTCGATATTTTGCAATTCGATATTTTGCGATTTCGATATTTTGCAATTTCGATAATTTGCGACTTCGATATTTTGCTTTCGATAATTTGCGTTCGATATTTTGCGCTTCGATATTTTGCGTTTCGATATTTTGTCATGGAAGCGATGAGTTCAGGGGCTGGGGGAGGAAAAAGGTCACCAAACCTGCAGTGCAGGGTGAAAGAATGCATACTTGGATGTTTACCTGGTAGGTCATATTTCTAGTAAATGGAAATGGAGTCAGATAAACTTAACATATATTAGACTTTATCTTTGGATGCATATATTTTAATGTATTCAGAATAGCATGCATCTAGCTGATGCATGAATCAGCAAATGTGAACACTTGCCTAGTTTGGTGATGAAGAGGTCAACAGAGCTCTGTGACCTTCCAGCCTGTGTCATGCCTCTTGGTGTACATTCTTCACCCATCATCAGCTTGCAGGCCTTTTGGCATAACTCTTATTTATAAATAAATAAGACATTGAGATACAAGTAACCCTTAGTTGCTCATACTGGCACTTCAATCTGAAACATAGCAACTTTTCATTTGGAGATTGGACTTTGGAGTGGGTATCCTCCAGGAGAGTGAACATTTACTTAACAATTGGTGAGACCATCCCTCCATTACAATTAAACCTAACAGAGCTCAGAATAATTCAGCATGCATTATTGCATTGTGTTACATGAGTAAATAGAAAATCACTGCTCAGGCCAGTTTTACCAACAGAAAAATACCTAGCTCCCTGCCAAATTGTTTGCCTAAAGACGGCTTCGCATACGGAGACGATTCACCAACAGTTAAGGGTAGTCATAAAGCAGGCGTCACACTTCCGTGTTAACAGCCGGAGGTCCGGTGACGGGCTGTGGCCTTGAGACGGCCGCCGGTTTATTACGTCACAAACGTACTATCGATGCAGAGTTTTCTATCGATGTGAGAGCTTTGATTTACGGAGCGGGGAGATGAAAATGACCAGCGCACAGCGGACGCAGAGAGAGGAAAGGATAAAAAAAACTTGGTCACAGCAGCGGACTCGCTTCGAATCCGAAGGTCACCGGTTCGAATCCCACCATGCCGTTCGATCAGCGGCCGACAGTCGCGAACTTTTTTGGGTGTGTGCGTGTTTTTTTGTGTGTAGAGGGCTGGGACCGGCAGTGTTGAGGGTGCTAGAGCTCACTGACTTGACCCCAATGCAGAGATCCTGGGTTCGAATCCCACCACGGCGTTACCTAAGCGGCCACTTTATCGTAGGTACTTTTTTAGTTTTATAGGATTGGGATCGGCAGTGCTGAGGGTGCTAGAGCTTACTGACTCGACTCCAATGCAGAGGTCCCGGGTTCGAATCCCACCATGGCGTTGCCTCAGCGGCCACTTTATCGTACTTTTTAAGTTTTAGAGGGCTGGGATCGGCAGTGCTGAGGAAGGTGCTAGAGCTCACTGACTCGACTCCAATGCAGAGGTCCTGGGTTCGAGTCCCACCACGGCGTTACCGAAGCGGCCACTTTATCGTACTTCTTTAGTTTTATAGGATTGGGATCGGCAGTGCTGAGGGTGCTAGAGCTCACTGACTCGACTCCAATGCAGAGGTCCTGGGTTCGAATCCCGCCATGGCGTTGGCTCAGCAGCTGACTTTAGCGTACTCTTTCTAGTTTTACGGGGTTTGGATAGGCAGTGCGAAGGGTGCTAGAGCTCACTAATTCGACTCCAATGCAGAGGTCCTGGGTTCGAATCAACCAAATCCCAACCCTCTAAAACTTAAAAAGTACGATAAAGTGGCCGCTGAGGCAACGCCATGGTGGGATTCGAACCCAGGACCTCTGCATTGGAGTCGAGTCAGTAAGCTCTAGCACCCTCAGCACTGCCGATCCCAATCCTATAAAACTAAAAAAGTATCTACGATAAAGTGGCCGCTTCGGTAACGCCGTGGTGGGATTCGAACCCAGGACCTCTGCATTGGAGTCGAGTCAGTAAGCTCTAGCACCCTCAGCACTGCCGATCCCAATCCTATAAAACTAAAAAAGCATCTACGATAAAGTGGCCGCTTCGGTAACGCCGTGGTGGGACTCGAACCCAGGACCTCTGCATTGGAGTCGAGTCAGTGAGCTCTAGCACCCTCAGCACTGCCGATCCCAGCCCTCTAAAACTTAAAAAGTACGATAAAGTGGCCGCTGAGGCAACGCCATGGTGGGATTCGAACCCGGGACCTTCGGATTCGAAGCGAGTCCGCTGCTGTGACCAAGTTTTTTATCCTTTCCTCTCCCTGCGTCCGCTGTGCGCTGGTCATTTTCATCTCCCCGCTCCGTAAATCAAAGCTCTCACATCGATAGAAAACTCTGCATCGATAGTACGTTTGTGACGTAATAAACCGGCGGCCGTCTCAAGGCCACAGCCCGTCACCGGACCTCCGGCCGTTAACACGGAAGTGTGACGCCTGCTTTATGACTACCCAGTTAAGCCCTATCCACTTACGTCTTACGTGCCCATCTCATTTACGCTCCATATGTGAAGCGGTCTTCGGGCAAAAAAATTCCAGCAGGATGCTATTTTCAGTCAGTTGTTAAACTGGTCTTTGATCAATTATTTGCAAACCAGCCTACAGTACAATTACAAGCCACTTTGACTTGAACAATGAACTTGACACTTTTCTGCCTATTTATAACACTCTGACTTCTCACTAGGTAGATACATCTGAAAGGCATGCATGGAAAAGAAAAAAAGAAGTTGCAAAAAATAGGAAATACCTAACAAACATGTTTTGAGTTTTTGACATTTCATTGATTGAAATTGATGTGTAAGATTGGTACCACAGATTGACATCAAAGATGATCGATTATTAAAATCAGCCACAAAACCAAATTAATATTTACAATAGACATTCTAACCCTAATAATGATTCACTTTTTGACACAATTCGAATTCAGTACTTACTTACATTGACAATGCATTGACATCAGCCTTGGCATTGCACACAGCACAAAATCTGTTTACCTTTCAAAAGCCGCGCCACCTTTTAACTGCGCCACCTGCCGCAGATAGGGTCGGGAAAAAACTTCACAACATGAAGGAAATAGAAATTCGTGAAGTTTTTTTTTGCGGGAAGAACGTCGCCAGCAGGGAATGCATATGTCGCCCAAGGCCCTATATACCATGTCGCCAGGGTCGCCAGCATAGATCTAAAAGCGTCGCTAGCGATGATGACGATAAGATAGGGCCAGGGTCCCACCAGCCCCTGACAGCCCTCGGAATGCTATCTATCTAGCAATGCTGCCAATAACTCGAGCGAGAGGGGATATTGGGCCATGAATAATGAATTAATTTTGTCAGTGTTTCGGGCATATTTTTTTGAATGGCTTGAGTTTTGCTGTGAATTTGGTCGGCCTAGAGCAGTGTTCGCCACGGGCCGGGCCAGCCCAACGGGCCATGGGCCGGGCTGGGCTACGGGCTGGGCCGGGCCCCCAAATATCATTAGTTAACGGGCTATGGACGGGCCGGGCCAAGAGCTTTGTGCACTATGGGTTTTGCGTTGCGACTAATGTCAATTGAAGAAAATTTGGAAACTGATGCAAACAAAACCCACTGGGAAAATACAAAAACTAAACCAAATTTAAGCAATGTGAAAGAAAACCTACTTGATATTGAAATTTGGGAATCTTGAGAATTATCCAATATCACATCATGTCACACATAGGAGGGTTTTCATAAAAATGCTGCAACCAAAAAGATCAGAGAATCTCTAGCATCATTAGTTTGTTAATAAAAGTTAAAATGTAGTCATCAGAATAACTTATTTAGCACTACAACTCCAAAAACTAAGAAGCCACTCAACAATGATGGGCTACAGGGCTACATTAAGTTTAACACTTATATATTGATATGGCGATAGTGAGACAATTCCAACACAGTCTTTTTTCCTTCACCGACGGCTTTTTAACGAACAGAACCTTAAAAGGATACTCACAAAACACACTGTAAGTAACGAGGAATTCTACAGAGTATTTCGCGATGAAAGCTTCTTTAAATGTCCATAAATTTGTCAAAATAAATCACAACAAACCAGCCCCCTCTCACTCTCAACAAAATTTGCATCATGGCGGCGGTGCTATGTTTATGTGGCGGCATCTAGGTAGTATACACAACAGTATATCAAATAAATACGTTTTTTAAGTAAGTACCAGGGTGAAAAACAAAATTAAACAAATAAAAAATAAAACTAAATCACAAAGTCTGAAAACTTGAACGAAAAACAAAACAAATACTTGATCATATATGTTTTATTATACAATTGGTCAAAATCGCTACCTGCCGCAGCTGCGACAATTAAGAAGTGTTCGCTCATTTTCGATTGATGATGATGATGCGTAAAATTCGTAAAAGTACCCAATGCCATTTCAAGCTTACCATGTTTTCTGCTTACGCTGCTAGCGATATCCATATCTTGAAAAGAGCCTAACATAAAATAGCAAGGAAAGTAGCAGATAGTTGTCCACACTCCACAGAGATTCGGTTGACACGTGGGCATGAATTGAAAATAGTTTAAATCAGTTTTGCTGATAAATAGATGGATTTTCTCTTTTTTTGGAAGACAGTGCTAAAGTTAGTGTCACCTATTTTGTATGCTTTCTCAGGCTGTTGATATTGCAGCATCTATGGAGTGAATTTAACAGCAAGGTCAATCCCAGACAGATTCATCAATTCCCATAAGTCAAGCTTTTTTCTGCTGGTAAGTGCTGGGAAGTATAGAGTATGTTGCAAATACTTCCTTCAAGTATGCATTAGAGTCACCAATTATGAATGATAATGTTCACACACATCAGCTTGCAAGATAACTTTACTCATAGAATGTAGTTAATATAATCATGGAAACTTTTTATAGGTGTGTAATCATGACCTAATTGACTGAGGTGCTTGCTGTTACTGTTAAAATTTGTGCCATAGGTGCTTGAAATGATTATATTCATTGAAAAGAAGGGAGTCATGATTGCCATGTTAATATTCATGCAATTTGAATTGTTCTCAAAATAGTGTAATCAATCATGCTTATTATAGCAATGGACTAAGACAATAACTAGATTGCTATTTTTGACGGGCCGGGCCGGGCTGGGCTTGGAATATTTGCCAACAGCGGGCTACGGGCTGGGCCGGGCTCTGAACCCATGGGCCCGGGCCGGGCTGGGCTGGGGATTTTGGGGCCCGTGGCGAACACTGGCCTAGAGGGCGGAACTGTAGTATGTCCCTCTCAACTAACCGATCCTTTTCTCACCTCCACCGGGTCTGACGTATTTTCAGAATGGACATTGTACCGTCAGTCATTAGCCACATGACGATAAACTCCCTTCTACCGTAAACTGCTGAACGGGATGGAGGGGGGAGGGGGGCTCGGTGAGAACAGAATACGGATTTGGCAAACAGCATACAGCCGTTGTAGAGGTCTTTGACGCTCTTGTCGGCAACAGCAATCAGAAATCGGCATTTCAGTTAGATCCACAATCCACATCACTGTATTGACTACAAAAAACGACGCAATGTTCACCAGCCTTGCATTGACTTAGTCGCATCGGCGGCAAAAGAACAGCTTCCAACTTCCAGCACGTCAGTTCATCAACAGCATTAACGAATAACAACCGAGCACACAATATGGGCATGGCGAAATGAAAAATAAATCGCCGTTAGCACAATGCAACACACTGCAGATCGGACCAAATCACTCAGCCCTTTCACTGACGTCCGAATTCCAATCGTTCATATTCTCTTCAGCTCAGCACCGTCTGAACCAACCGTCAAACGTGTTTTTAGTTCACATTTAGTTCACATACACACCCACACTTCATCAACATACCCAGACTCTCTCAGCGCCCCCCCCCCCCAAACACACTCTCCCCACACCGTCCCTACGCGGCGGCAGCCGGCGGTGCGTCCTGTGCCGACACGGGTTCGTCCCCAGCCGCCCGCTCCACCGGGTGGTGTTTCTCGCAGTACGCGCGCAGCGTCTCCAATCGCTCGGTGAGCGGCATCCGCGGCTGGCGCAGCAGCGTACGCTCGTTACCGAACGCCGAGTACGAGCTCTCGCCGTCCTCTCCCAGCAGGCGGCGGAGAGCACGGTTCCGCTCCAGGGTCTGGCGAGGGTGAGACAGAGGGCGTTTCAAACGAGATGATATGGGCGGACTGAGTTTTATCGGTTATATCGACGTGTCAAAATAAAATGACGTTTTAGTAACTGACGTGAATATTGAATATTGAAAAAAAAAACAATTCTTAGGCATCAACATTCAGAACAAGTAAAAAATCACATAAGCTGATATCGCCGCATACAAAACATAGTTTCGTACTAATAGAAAGTTTCAGCGCACTGGTACCCAATAAGAGTTCCATAAAAATGAACAACTACCAGCCGACTATCTCGAAAGACGGAATCAGTAGTCAAACTTTCCAGGCTCCGCTATACCTTTTCGTAGAACTCGACGCCGCCCCAGGCGTAGGCGGCGCCCAGCCGAGCCGCTGCCATGTCCGACTCGCTGTCCCGGTGGTGCTGGATCACATCGGTGACTGTCACCCAGACGGCAACACCGAACAGGGAGACCAGCGAGTACAACATCACGCGCAGACCCTGCCGGAGAGAAGAGGCAGAAAATGACCTAATGCAATGCACCCTAGAAAATGGCATGAGGAAAGCCCGTTTAGGTCCCCGCTAATTGTTGTTACAGTATGTCGACATTTACAACAACGTGATGACAGCGTAACTGTAACTGCTCAACCATACTATCCTACCCTAAGCTGCCTCACTGTCTCCCTTCCCGACACATTACCCAATATATAGCGCCCCTCCTATCCCCCCCAATCGTCGTCTCACCCGTGGCCGTTGTGCGAAGCCCAGTCGCTGGTTGAGGGAGCTGCCCAGCAGATAGGTAGCGAATAGCGCTGCCGCGCCCACACCTCCGTCCTGCCACACCTGCGAGCTGCGCACGTGCCACAGCTCGCGCGCGATGGCGAACCGCTGGGCGGCCGGCGAGAGGCGCAGGCCGTCGTTCAGCAGGACGCCCTCGCGCGACTCCCAGTCCACCTTCTTGCCGCCCACCTGCCGTCGACAAAGGAGAAATCGGCTCATTTGACATAAGTGCAGCAGTGAATAGTAATGTAGAATAAGAGATAAATGGAATTATATCATTTAAATTCAATCCTGTAAAAAGGCATGCAACTTTAATTTACTGGTCACCATTTCATGACGATCCTACGCCCGCCTCCCACCGCCTACCGTGAAGCCGCTACTGTTGAGCTCGGCGGGACCGTCGAGCGCGAAGGTCTGCGGCAGCCCGATGGCGGCACCCCAGCGCAGTCCCGTGCCGCCCGCGTGGAACGGATCGGCGCCGAACGCCGTGAAGAAGCGCAGTCGGCTGCGCTCGTCGGCGTCCACCGCGGCGTCATCAAGCACCGCGTCCACATGCCGCGTCAGCTCCGGCGTCAGCTTCACAGGCAGCCCCTCTCTGCAGGAAACAGGCGCATGGGAGTGAGGGAGGAGAGTTGTGCAAGTCCAGAATAAAACATTAAAAAATGTAGGAACAGGACATGTCAAAAGGTGGAAACAATGAAATGCTTTTTAGGCTTACAATTTACAAGAGATATGGGATAAATAAATAGAATATAAAAGCCTAAAATAATTCATAGTTTAAGTTTTACCGAGGCTTTTATGCCATTTGAGCTGGTATACAACAGCACGTAAGTTATACAGAACATACAAATTGAGATATTCGACCTCAGTGGCTGCATATTTCAGCTCCCTGTACCATAGTCATTTCATTCCAAAGGATTGTGATGCATGTTCACAAATTTAAAAGAAGTTGTTGGTGGGCAGCCCTAGTGCTAGGCTAGCGAATCCCACATAAAACTTGAACCGTGCTATTTGTTAAAAAAAAAACTTACAAATTTTACCTTTAGCTAAAAGCCATCTCTGAAAAAGTTATGGCATCCTGTTAAGGCCTGGCTCTTCAAAAGAAATAATCTCATTGATGATGATGCTTAATTTCTAATACATTGGACATATGCTTTATATCAATAAACTGATTTAATCGCTGACCTTTACTGAAGACTAACTTCATAAAATTGTAATACGATTGTGGTACAGTCATTTTTAATGCATGACCATACGTACGACTGTTTTATATCTTACCTGTATGCCTGTACAAAACGCTTATACTTATCTAGAAATAGCCCGTGTGGCAGCAAATATCCACCAAATATGCAACCACCCGCGAGTCCCACACAATATTGAGAGATTCGGCGATTGGATGAAATCCATTTAAGAAACTTCGCCATAGCGTGGATCTTGGCGTGGACTTATCTTGGACTTATCTAAACCAAAAATACAACTCAAACTGCGTTATTCGTATAAATAATAAATGGTGACCCGGGACCCTTCACACAAGAAGCACTTATCATGAAGGTCATATGTTCTTTACAAGATGTCAAAGTGCTGCACACGCAATCATATCCTACACTGATTTGTTAATTTTAGCTTACTCTGCTAGTTTAGGCGTTATACGGAAGTCGTGAACAAAGTGTTTTGTTGTCGCAGCTGCGCATTTAATGTCTCAAAAATTGCTAAGTCAGTGTAGCTAAATTTAACCTCTTCGTAAAGAATGAAAGCAAGGCTTATCGCAAGCTTATCGCCCCGTACGACGCAACGCGCTCAGGGTCAGATAATTTGTACGCAGGGGAATAAAACTTGCATAAAACTTGCATGGCGTGTATGTGCTCCCACGTCCTTTCATTTGCATACCTATATACCTACCTAGTTTCTACCTACCCATCTCGATTATTTTGCTTTTACGTAAAAGTCACATGATGAAGTCGGTCAACAAGCAACCATTAGGCCCGTAATCCGCGCCGATGGGGCCTGCCGAGCAAAGCGCACAGATGGACATTTTGCCGCCCCCCCCCCCCCGGGATCTCGAGAACCACACAATATAGCGACAAGCATAGCGACAAGCATCAAACGGTGTTGGATAGCCCCAACTGGGAACTACCTTAAGTGACCCAGGGGCGTCGACACCGGTCCGACTTTTCCGACTAGTCGGACCACTTTTTCGACTAGGCGGTGCCCTGCTGTGGCTCGCGGGGGCCCTGCTGCGACCGCGGGAGCCCCTGCTGTGGCCGCGGGGGCCCCTGTTGGGGCTCTCGGGGGCCCTGCTGCGGCCACGGGGGCCCCGCTGCGCCTCGCGGGGCCCTGCTGCGGCTCGCCCCCCCCCCCCCCTGCTACAGAATGCGGGGGCCCTGCTGCGCCTCTGGGGCCCTGCTAGACACCGCGGGGGCCCCTTCTGCGGCTCGCGGGGGCCCTGCTGCGACCCGCGGGTGCCCTGCTGCGACTACGGGGCCCCTGGTGCGGCTACGGGGGTCCCTGCTGCGGCCACGGGGGCCCCTGCTATAGAATTCGGGGGCCCTGCTGCGCCTCTGGGGCCCTGCTAAACACCGCGGGGGCCTATACATTTGTATACTCATGTATGTATGTAAATGTACGTTGGGAAGCCGTTCGACACCTGGGGGCCCCCACCGGTGGGGGCCCCCCGAGAAAAAGTCGGACCAGTTTTCCTTACGCGTCGACGCCCCTGAAGTGACCCAATTTTATTGACCTCGGTTTGACCAATGACGTCACAGGTCAGGTCAAATATCGAATTTTCACCGTTTACACTTTACAGACAGTTCAAGAAATATGTTGTAAAATCGAGTAAAAAGGCATATTATTAAAAATCATCGATATGCAATTGTCCGTCAAAGACATGTTTTACTATTTGAGGTCACTAACATAGGCGGCGGAACGGGGAGGGCACCGGGGCACCGTGCCCCCCTTTGATTTTGGCATTTTGACATTAGCCCTATGGGCGTTGCATGGAAAGAATGGGACCAAAAGTCGGCAGTGCCCCCCCCCCCCCTCCCTTAACCCTCGCCCGTATAGGGGGGGTGGAACGGACCCCCCTCGATTTTTCGCAAATAACTCGCGTAAAAAGCGGCCGATCGCGACGAAACTTTCAGTACCCTCGCGTTAATCAATTTTACACCCACCCTGAAATTATCATGACCCTGACCCTAATGACCTTTGACCTGTGACCTACTTTTCGAGACCATGTTTGGCCGGAATCGCGATTCGGCGTATGTCGGCTCGCATTAGCCGCGCGTTTGCAGTCTTTTCGTGGTTTTAAGCGTTCAAACATGGGATATGATGTTGCTTTCATGCATTAGGGTGGGTGTCAAGGTCACCGGAAGGTCAGGTCAGGTCATTAGCCTTTGGTGACCTCGGTTCACTTTTTCGAGTTTTACGTGTTTCTAGGCCAGTTTTTGGAGCTGAATTCGAATTTAGCAACCATATGAACATTTACGAAGTAGTTTTGGCACATTCGTAGCATGCTACGAAGCTGTCAGAGGCGGTTACCACCTACTACGAATACCCTTACTGGTTGACCTGACCTGACCTGACCCGACCTGGCCTAAATGCATGAAGACATCATCTGTGATCAAAACTTACATGATATTCGTGATCAGCACCCCAAAAAACCCATATCAGCCACGCTTTACGACTTTCTAACAGGTCCCGATATTCCCGACTTTTGGGTCATTGACCTGACCTGGAAGGTCAACCGATGACCAAGGACCTTAAAATTGGGTATCATCGGTTTCCTCTCGTCACGGGCAACACGCTCGGCTCGTTTTTTTCCGCGAAGCTCTAGCTTGATCAGGGGCGAAACGGCAAGGGGGGTCCAACGGACCCCCCCCCCCCCCCTTATACGTTCGCGGCTGGAAAATCACCAATACGGGCGAAGGTTAAGGTGTTCCGCCGCTACTGGTCACTAATACCAGATCAAGTCAAAGAGGTCAGGTCACTGAGGGTCACAGTACGGAAGTTTCGTGTGATACATGTTTTATGGTCCAAATGTTTTATGTTTTATGGACAAATGCGATAATGTGGGTCAGGCAACCTTTAAAAAATCGGGACCTGTTAGAACGTCGTAAAGTGTGGCTGCTAGGGGTTTTTATCAGGGTGCTGATCACGAATATCGTGTTAGGTTTGATCACAGATCATGTCTTTAAGCATTTAGACCAGGTCGGGTCAGGTCAGGTCAGGTCATCCAGTAGGGGTCGTGACGGGTATTCGTAGTACGTGTCAACGGCCTCTGGCAGTTTCGTAACATGTTACGAAGGCACCAAAACTACTTCGTAAATGTTCAAATAGTTTATAAATTCGAATTCAGCTAAAAAAACTAGCCTAGAAACACGTAAAGCTCGAAAAAGTGAACCGAGGTCACCAATGTTCAATGACCTGACCTGACCTTCAGGTGACCTTGACATCCACCCAAATGCATGGGAGCAACATCAAATCACATATTTGAACGTTTGAAACCACGAAAAGCTTGCAAAGGCGCGGCTAATGTGAGCCGACATACGCCGAATCGCGATTCCGGCCAAACATGGGTTCGAGAAATAGGTCACAGGTCAAAGGTCACTTGGGTCAGGCTCATGAAATTTTCAGAGGTAGGTGTAAAATTGATCAACTCGAGGGTACTGAAAGTTTCGTCGCGATCGGCCGCTTTAAACGCGAGTTATTCGCGAAAAAAACCATGGGGGAGGGTCCATCCGACCCCCCCCCCCTCTACACATGCGATGGGTAATAAAAAATGCTTTTTATTTTGGGGGGTCAAGGTAACAAAATTTTAAAATCCGAGATAGCAGTTTTGTAGCGCCGTCTTTTCTCTACACGGCCACATAAAGAACATTAAAATTGCTCGTTAGCTGTAGCTTTTGTGAGCGTTTCAAGATTTCATTCTTTTAGCTCATTTTTGCTCGAACATGACCTCAGTTTGACCTCAACAACTCCTGACCTAAGGTGGCCTAGGTATACCTAACTTGAAATGTTTGTGTGATGGTGTTAACTTTATGTTTTGAAAGGTAGGTACTGAAAATTTGGCGGCGCTGCGCACCGCCGCGCCGTTTTTCCCTATTCAAGAAAAACCACAGGGGGGCAAAATGCCCCCATCAGGGCGCGGGATAAGACATAGGATAAGTCAATGGAGATTGGAGGGAATATGAAAAAAGAATATTTTGACACCGTAAATGGTCTCCAACTAATTCAAGCACATGAAATCGTGATTCGTGGTTTCCTATACTCCTAGCATTTATCGCAAGGTCCGATTATTCAGTTTTGCACTGTGGTAGGTATACGATAATACGGACTGTCACGAAGCTCGCTTCAGGTCATCGGATTATATTTTCAGTAACTCCCGAGCGAAATTTATTTAGTGAGGCACAACGGAATAGCCGCCTATGTAAGCAATAGATCCCGAAAGACCTGTCGAATCGATTGACATTCAATGTGACCTCATGCGACAAACTTTATGACCTGAGCGACTGCAAAGACCAAGTTGACCTTTTCTGATAAAAGTAATCATTCGACGCGCCTGGGCATGACGAACAGGATGGTGCCAAATTCCAAAATCACGACATCTTTATTATCCTTTACGAAGTTAATTACCAAAGCAGGCTCCTGCTTTTGGGGCCTTTCTGACCTCAGAGGTCACTGGCTGGCCTGAAAATTAACATTGTGTAGGTAAGTACCAGATACTTACTACGCCTTGTAAGGGCGCACACGGCTTTCTTCTGCGAAGCTCACAGCTCAAGTAGGTAGGGTTGAAACGGCGATGTGAACGGCGATGTGGAACGCCCCCCCCCCCCGCCGCTACCCTCGGCCGTCTTCCTTATGAAGAAACCCGATAAGTCCGGCAAGGGTTAAGCGTCGCTTTACAGGTCCCGCTCTAGCCTCATTTGTATGCAGCCGTGGATAGGCGGGATACCATACCGGTCGGAACTGCAAGCCAGGCTATAGTCCGACCGGCTCGGCCCGGTTGTGCGGCGCCGGCTATCTGCAGGTGTTTGTGTGCACAGTCAGTACCTACGTCCGACCACCCCGGCTGACGGCTCTGTGAGCGCTGGGTCTCTGACCGGCCGGTCTGTGTTTGCACAGTGATCGTTTGTGCAGAGGGCGGCGTCGACAGGACCTGTGTGCTTGACCTCGTTCTGACCTGCGACTGCGCCCACGTCTCCTCTCTGGCGGAGAGAGACATTCCAAACTCGGGGAGCGAGTCCAGCCTGAAGGTGGTCGGTGGTGTGAGCAGAGAGGGTGGGCGAGGGAGGTAAGTATTCGCTACCCTTTACTTTGCTCTTGTTTGATAATTGCTCTTAATTTACTGTAGTGTGTGCCTCGAAAGGCAGATGGGTATTTCCCACCTTTGTGCGTAACCAGGCCTTTCCGGCCAGACATGAGCGCGCTCATTACATTATGCCCGGCCGACTCATTCAATGTTCCGGGGATCGCATGGATGGAACATCTGCCGTCTCTACTTCCGTTGTAAATCT